CTAGCCTGAGTATCCTTTGCCTTCAGCAAACCTGCAATGGTTCTGCCTAAGCCCCTCACTCTCATTTCTCTCTTCCTCCCATTCCTACTCCCAGGGCCTGTACAGACATACAGCCCACTGCCCTATACTATAGATCAAATACACTTTAGCTCTCTGTCTCTCTTCTTTAAAAACTCTCTGAACTCTCTACCACTCCACCCACTGCCTGCCTGGGCATCACAGGCCCTTTCCTCTTAGCTCTAATGCGCTCAGGTATGTCCAGGCAAGCTCTGTCTTGCTCTGAAAGGGGTGAAGTTCTTTCCTCTGCTCATTTTACCACACCAGCAAGCCCTCATTTGGGCTGTCTTCATTTCTCTCTTTATCTCAGACCCCTCCCACCTCCGGTCACTTTGAGAAGAAATCGGAAAGGTATTTTCTGACCCCCTCTAACTGCCTGTTTTTTTTTTCTCAAGTAGAGCAGAGAGGCTAAGGGGTGGGGGAGACATTAATCTTTTGATCATGACTGTGAAGTTGGATGCTTGATCCGCCTCTTCCTCTGTGCATTTGCAGAGAAATGCACCAGCCATTCTGCAGGCTGTAATTAAGCCACATCATCACTAATGACATGCTCCCTATCTCCTAGCATCCCAGTCCAAACAGGAAGGAGAAGCCCAGCCCCAGCCCATCCCTAGGGAGATGCCAGAGCAGTAGGCCAGACCTCGGTGGCACCTGCCTCGCATATGGTGGGAACCGGCCAGCGCCCCCCCCCCCCGCCTTCTTCCAGTACCCAGGTCATAAATTGAGCCCTCTGGGCCCTGGGGATGGAGGGGGCAGGAAGCAGAACATAGGCTCCAAGACAAGGGAGAAATTGGAGGGTAATCATAAAAACCGGAGCCAAGAATGGTAGAGTGGGGGACAAATGGTAGAAGGGGTGACATTGATCAAGATGCTTCCTACTCATAAAATGCTATGTTGAATTGAAACCCCTGTGTACAACTACTTCAAGATAATATAAAAATAAAAAGTCATCTAGCAGTTTTTTTTTTACTAAGTAGTTGTACAAAGAGTTAAAGTTCCATAAATCAGATTGTGAATATGATGTTTTTTAGTCAGTGTCCTCTTCCTTCTTTTCTTTTCCCCCATTTTCCTTCTCCTGTATCTTCTCTCAAGTGACATGGTTCATTTTTATGTCATGTACATTGATTATAATGACTACCTTCTAGTAATGATATTTTTTTGTCAGTTGTGGGGCCTGGGCACTGTCCCTGAGCTCTTCAGCTCAAGGCCAGAACTCTACCACTTGAGCTACAGCTCCACTTTTTGTTTTCTGGTGGTTTATTGGAGATAAGAATCTCGTGGACTTTCTTACCTGGGCTGGCTTTGAACTGTGATCCTCAGATATCAGCCTCCAGAGTATCTAAGATTACAGGCGTGAGCCACCAGCACACGGCTGCAATCATTTTTTTTAAGAACTAAGAATTCTATATTGAGGGAAAAGAAGCCTGAAACAATGGAGATCCATGTGGAGAATAGGCTGGGACTGAGGCTATGAACATGGAGACACTAGTCTGCACCATAAAGTCTGAGGCAGTGGGTGATCTGAGCCCTGGGATTCATGGATGACGACATCTCCATGCAGTCCATCCTGGGATATTTCAGACTGCTCACCTGCTGGCTGCCGAGAACCACCAAGAGCTAAGGAGCAGAGCCCTAAGCTCCACCTTCATAAACAAAGCTGGGCCAGATAATGCTTAAGGGGTACAGCTCAGGACCAGAGTGTGAGCCCCTCCCACTAAAGCCTTCAGGAAGTTCTCTCCACCTTCCCTATAAAGAAGGAGGCAGGGGACCCTGCTGCCAGGGCTCCAAGTCCTCATCTCCCTAGAAGCCCCCCAAGGAAGCAAGTGAGAACTCAGGGCTGGTGTGACACCAGCTATGGAGTCAGAGAGAGGACTAGAAACTGGGCCAGGAGCTCCCTGAATGTTAGAAGATCTGGCTTTCCCAGCTAAAAGAAAAGGAACAGAAGGGTAGGGTAGAGCAAGGGTGTCCTAACAAGGATCCAACGACAGGCTCAGAAGAACCCAAAGGGGTGTCAGGAGAACACAGTGCGTGTGAAACAGAGCAGGAAGCTGGCCGGAAGGTGTGCTCCAGATACATCGTAGTCATCCTTTTTCCAGGGCTCGCTATGCTCTCTCTCCACATGCACACCAACACTTCCATGTTTCTCACTTTACAAATGAACAAATAATCAGGGACACCAAGTGGCCTATGTCAAGGATTCAGATCTCTTCCAGTCCTGCATCCACCACGCTACTGTTCAGGCCTTGAGCTGTGAGCAGTCTTAATCTAGAACTGAATGCTTCATCTGGAGCTCCAGCAAGAAGGAGTCTGGAGTCCCCAAGAGCTAAAGGCCTATCTCAGGCCTCTGGGGATGGGTGAGCAGGAAGCAAGAAGGAGGATTTGAGCCATAGCCTCCTAAGGAGAACTGCTTCCAATGGTGTAGGTGCTTTGCAGAGGGCAGGGGGGGACCCTGAGTCCTCTGGAAATACTTGTCTGAATGTGTACAATAAATACTAATGATGTACAATAAGCCTCCTTCACACCCTTGTCACCCTGCAGACGGCAGGAGTGCTGGAGCCCTGGAAGGGAAATGGGAGGCAGCTGGCAAAGAACATCTCAAACCCTAGATCAGCCTCCCTGTGTGTGGAGAGCTACAAAGTCTTTAAGAAGTTCCATATCACCAACAATTCATGTCCTGCTACCTCCTGCTCCAGGAAACCTTTTTTTTTTTTCAGATTGCCTGTGTTCAGCTCTGATACCTCCCTTCTTCCGTAGCTGTACTTTGTCAGTGCTTCTCGGCAGGACTCTTGTGCTGCAGGAGGCAGAGCCATTCTCCTTGCAGCTTTGCAAATCCTGGTGGGGCTTGGGAGGAGGGCATCGACTAGTGACATCTGGAACAATATTGGGATTCTGGGGTACTTTGAAGAAGAGCTTTGTGAAGGCCCTGAGCTCTCTCACTAGAGGTGAGGAGGTTCTGATGGCAGCAACTACACTCCCAGCCTCCTCCTGCCTCTCATGAGAGAGAGTGAAGAGAAAGGGCCCAGGCAGCAAGGAGGCCAGGGCCAGCCTGGGCACGCCAGGGAGTGATACAGCAGCTCCTCTAGCTGACCCCTCCACCCTAGCAGGTAGCTTGTCCAGGATCAGCCCCCAAACACCAGACCTCAGAGGAAGTCTTTTTCCCCAGGGCTCCAGGGAGAGGTGGAGGAGGAGAGGTGCAGTACCCAGAGCTGCTGGCAGAGGGCAGTGCATACACAAAATACAGGCAGAAGGACTTAGGGATGGAAGCAGCAAGTAGCTGAACCGACAGGCTGTGATGAACACATCCAGCAGCCCTGGCCCCCCTAACGGGCTCTGCCAGGCCTCTGGGCAAATCTTGTTGCTGCCATATTCAACAGCCTAAACCAGCATACAGCCTCCAAAATACACAAGGCCCTATAAACACAAGTCAACCATACAGTCTGCACTGCAGGACAATATTTTGGCCAACAGTGGGCAGTATATACCATAATGGTTCCATATAATGGGGCTGGGAATGTCCTGTCGCCTTGTGATGGACTCACCACATGAAGACACACAACATACAGTTGTATACTACAGAATCTCATGATGATGATGATGACTATAATAAGAACCACGACTGGGCACTGTCCCTGAGCTTTTGTACTCAAGGCTAACACCCTACCACTTGAACCACAGCTCCACTTCCAGGTCTTGGGTGGTTAATTGGAAATAAGAGTCTCATGGACTTTCTTGCTCAGGCTGGCTTTGAACCATGATGTTTAGATCCCACCCTCCTGAGTAGCTAGGATTACAAGATTACACTAATGCCTGGCTTGTGCTCTCTTTTTTGTTAGCCTCAGACCCTCACACTTGCTAAGCAGGTACTCTACCGCCTGAACCATTCTTCCAGCACCTTTTTATGTTGGTTAATTTTAAGATAGGGTCTCCCTTTATACTTAGGCCAGGTTGGACTGTGATCCTCCTATTTGTGCTTCCCACCATAGCTAGAATATCAGGTGCGCACCACTGTACCCAGTCATTGGTTGAGATGGAATCTCCAAAACCTTTATGCACAGCCTGGTTTAGAACCAACAGCAAAGATCCAGGTGAGGTCACAGACCAGGTAGGATCCAGATCAAGAAAAGTTACAGCAATGCACAGATTCCACACTGAGAACAAAAATGCTGCTGGCATGTAGAAATGTGTCCTTGCCCAGACTAGTATTGAAATCTGATTCTCCGTGGGGTGGTGTTGGGAGGCCTTTGGGAGGTAAATAGGTTTGGGGGAGTAGATTAATGTCTTTCTAAAGAGATGAGACTTGTTCTGAGAGTGGGTTGTTATAAAGTGAGTCTGGCCTCCCTCACACATGTATTTGTTCCCATACATGTTCACACATCCTATATGACAAAGCACAGGCCCTTACCAGACACCAAACAGATTCTGGCACTATGTTCTCATGTCTCCGGAACTGTGAGTCAAAATACACTCTCATGTTTTATAAATTCCCCAGCCTCAAGTATTCTGTTATTATACACACACACACACACACACACACACACACACACGCACACACACACACACAAACACAGAAACTAAAACAAATGAAGCCAACCATTTATTGCAAGAAAAGCAGAAAAATAGACACAATCCCATTAAAGAACCACCCCCCCCCCTTAACAGTAAGAGCCCGAGAAAGAACCAGGGCAGAGGAAAACATCTGGGCATGTGCTCTATCTCTAAGTTTGGGCCAATTACCCCATGAAAAGCAGCCAGGAGGAAGATCACTAAGAAAGCCCATGACATGCATCAGAGCATCACCCCACTGAGGACAACATGGAAGGGAGGTAAGATTGGGATTGTGGTGATGAAGAAACCACTTTCCATCTTGGAAAGAGGTGCCAGGGAGGAGAGCAGAGAGGTGGTTGGATCCTCAGCCTCCCACTCGCAGAGCCACGGCTGCCCTGTCATCTGGAGGCCTTTTTGGTTGTACAGCTGCTGCCCGAGGTTTTAGTAACCGAATCCTTGAGCTCGCTGCCACAGCTGCCTTTGGTCTTGACCTCCAGCCCCATAGGTCTGTAGCTGTAACTGTTAGAGGCACCAAATCCCACGCTGAAGCCAGCCCCTGCTGGCCCGGCATTGGTGCTGCTGATGACAGCTGGGAGGGAGGGGGGACAAAAGTATACATGTGGCTTCAGATGTAATTCTGATAAGTCTTCATATAAGTCTGATGATATCAGTATGGCTTCATGTTTCATGTTCTTGGCCCTGTATTTCTACCTTTCCCTAGTAGTGTATGTCCAATCTGACAATATCAGACTTTAGGCTCATAGCAGACAGGAACTCTTTTAGAGTTCCCCCTTGGTTCAGGACAAATGAAAATAGGCACTTCATAAAGGAAGCATCTATGTTGCTGATGCAATAGAGGCTGATGGGAATATCCCTGCTTTTCATTACACAGCTCCTCCCCAGTGCTCTCTCCAAGGTATAAGCCCAGAGATGGTTGTTACAGCTACTTCTTTTTCATCAGTGGTCTTTCAGTCTCCCCTAAAATCCCCCCTCCTGCAAGCTAAGCCTGTCATCTTGTTCTGGCTTCATTCTTATAACAGATCATTGGGTTATACATCATTAAGTCCTTCTGTACTTTATATTGTTGTATTTTCATTCAATGCTCCATGACAATTACTAAAGCTAGATCCCTCTTTCTGGCTTTAAGTTTTTCCCAAACCCTTCAACTAGAGTGACTTCCACTAAGGAGACTGAGGTGAGGACTAAGATATCCAAGTACTCACAGATGCTCACAGAATTCGGGTACTCGCCAGACATCCTGCAGATGGGGAAGAAAACAGGCATTACCTTCACAAACAAGCACCGTCTATCCAGGCTGAATCCAGGACTAAGTCTTTCCTCTTAGAATGTGTCCCCAGCCCCATCCAGACTCCTTCCTTTCCAGATTCCAGCAGAACCTCTCAAGAAATGGAGAACAGAGGTGAAAACTTGGGCTGCTATAAAGACTCATTCTCCATCAGATGCTTTGGATTATTTATTTGTTGTGTGGAATGGTTAATAGCTCAATCCCATGCTAAATATTCCAATAGTCTTCTTGTGTGTGTGTGTGTGTGTGTGTGTGTGTGTGTGTGTGGTGTGTGTGCACGCGCACGCTCGCCAGTACTGAGGCTTGAACTCAGGGCCAATGTGCTCTCCCTTAGCTCTTTCATTCAAAGTTAGTGCTCTACCACTTGAGTCAAACCTATTGGCTTTTTGCTGGTTAGTTGGAGGTAAGAGTCTCATGGACTTTTCTGCCTGGGCTGTCTTTGAACCACAATCCTCAGATCTCAGCCTCCTGGGTAGTTAGTATTACAGGTGTGATCTACCAGCACCCAGCACTAATGGCCTTAGACAAATAAGAAGAATGAGCCTACATCCCTTACCAAGCCTTACGCTTTCCCAGAGTGAATTTGAACTTGGAGTGATTCTTGGTGGTCTTCTTGCCTCTCCTCCACCCATGTAAAGTCTGGGAATGTTTGTGTTCTTAAACCCTGACAATGCTAATAATCCTTCTCCCGCAGCCTCTTAGTGATTGTTACAATTTGGTCCTTCTTGTCTATGACTTTATTAGAGCTTCTATTTAAAGCAGAAAACAAAACTAAACTGCCCCTCACCTGCTCTCTTCACCCTCCAGCAGCTTCCTGTAGGTGGCAATCTCCATGTCCAGCGCCAGCTTGACGTTCAAGAGCTCCTGGTGCTCACACAGCATCCGGGCCAGATCCTCCTTGCTCTGCTGCAGTCCGCCCTCCAGCTCGTCCAGCTTGGCCCGGGCATCTTTGAGTGCACAGTCACCCCGCTGCTCTGCGTCAGCGATGGCTGTTTCCAAGTTGGAGCACTGAGGGATAAAGAGATTCAGCACTTTGGGTCTGGGATCCCTCTCTGACAAGTTTCCTGACTGTGTGATCCTGATGGACAGAAAGTACTCAGAGGCTTGCTGACTTCCAAACTACACGTGCTCCAGAAAGAGGATCTGCATACCATGGGCAAGGCCACACACCAAAGCAGGGCCCTGAGCCATCTAAGATAGGAGGTCTCCCCTGTTCTCTTCTAAAATCAACAAGAAACGATCATGTGAAATCTGTGGCTCCTTTACCTCCCGCATGGGGGTCTAAACCAATCACACTGTCTGGCAAAGAAGGCATCCATAAGCTACCTAATCCTGCCCGATGGTGTTCTCTGCTTCAGGTCACAATGGTTGCATTGCAGATCTTCTACAGATAGACAACTGTCCTCCCTGAATGCATAACACACACACACACACACACACACACACACACACACACTTCCATCCACTGCCTCTGCCAGCTCCTTCACCTGGACACCTTCTCCCCGGTGTAATCCCACCTCATACACAGAAGCTTCTCCCAGGTCCTCACTCGCCTCCAGCCCCCCTGGCCTCCAACAGCATGCGCTGTGCTATATGGAATGCTCTACCCTCATCCCAATGCTTTCTGATCTTCTCCACCAGATGAGTTACTGGCATTTGCCTGAGGATAGGATTGCTCTACACTTCTGCATATTCTGTCTTGTCCCACTCGGCGCTCAATCAATGCCATACAGGATTCACTGCAGGAAACCCACCTGCTTCTTCACGTTGCCTATCTCCAAGTGGATCCTCTGGATCAGCCGGTTAAGCTCTGAGATCTCAGCGTTGGTGAGTTTGAGGTCATCCCCATGCTGGCCTGCTGTAAGCTGCAGCTCCTGGATCTGAGGTTGGATAACGAAAGAGAAGCACAGTGAAGAATTTACCCAGTTGCTTGGCATCAGTGGCTCAAGCCTATAACCCTAGCTACTAAGGAGATTGAGATATGAGGATCAAGATTTGAAGCCAGCCTAGCAAGAAAGTCAGTGAGGCTGGTAGTGGACCTGTGGTTCATGTAGTACGGTGCCAGCCTTGAGCAAAAAAGCTAATGGGTAGGGTCCAGACCCTGGTTGCACGCGCGTGCGCACACACACACACACACACACACACACACTTCACCTGTTTTGAGAGTGGTTATTATGGGGTGGGTGACCACATGTGTTTAAATTATTGAAGCAATATACATACCAGCAAAGGAGGGAGGTAGAGGGAAAGGGGGGAGGAGAAGACTGTTCTAGTTCAGTAGGATCCTTTGATCCTTTGCTTTTCCAGTGTGAGAACTCTGTTGCAACTGGAACTGTCTATCCAACTTTTGTCAAAGTTGGAAACAAGAAAGAAAGCAGACCTATTTGGATTCCCCATGACTGTGTCAGAGCTTTATCAAGGTTAAGGCTGACAGAGACTCAGCTGCCAGCAAAGACCATTTTAGGTAAGAGTTAAATGTCATTTATATTCCTAAAAAGTCCAAACCTGCCACGATCTCCCTGGATCACAGGATTACATTTTATGGTGCCCGACTCCAAAACACAGGAGATCTCCCACTGAGCTCAAATTCACATGCATACACACATGAGCGCACGGGCGTGCACACACACACACACACACACACACACACACACACACACACACGGCACACACATGCATGCATGAAGAGAGTGTCCCAGCAGTGGTGATTGGGCTTAGGCTCACCTTGTCATGGTACAGGTTCTCTGTCTCAGCCTTGCTCTTCACAGCCATGTCCTCGTACTGGGCTCGAACATCATTAATAATGCTGTCCAGATCCAGCTGTCGGTTATTGTCCATTGACAGAATGACAGAGGTGTCACTGATGTGGGACTGCATCTGAGCAATCTCCTGCAGAAGAGTTGGAGGAAGAGAGCCAGTTAGGAAATTCCCATGACAGGACCACTTCTCCTGATCCTCTCTGGACACAATCCTCACTGCTCCTGTCTGCCTTTCCTCAATGTTCCAACTGCCTCAGCACCAGAGGCTGCCAGGTGTAAGAATGACTACCTTGAGTTTCATCCCCAAGCAGTGGATTCCTCTTTTATTTTGCACTCAGGACCCTTCTACTCATCTTCATGTTTTTTTCTCAAAAACAGAAATACCACCTTCATCTACAGCATCACATCTTAACTCTTCTTGTGGCACTTAGAGGTCTCAAAGAAGTCATCTACCACCATTTTGATGTGTTTGCCAGCTCTGAGGCTTGAATTCAGGACCTGGGCCCTGTCTCTGAGCTTTTGTGCTCAAGGCTAGTGCTGTACTACTTGAGCCACAGCGTCATTTCTGGCTTTTTTTAAATAGTTAATTAGAGATGAGAGTCTCATGGACTTCCTGGGCCGGATTTGAACTGTTCCCAGATCTCAGCCTCCTGAGTAGCTAGGATGACAGGCATGAGCCACTGGTCCCAGGTACCCACCACTTTTTCTTTCCCTGTGCTCTTCTTCCTTCCATAGCCTTCAAGCTTTCACACATTACAGCCTTCTAAATGCTCACTTGTTTTTTCCTTCTCCATCAGGCTGGAATACTATGCCTTTCCTAGCACCAGCTGAAATCTTTCTCCTTTCTCCAGGGGCCTTCCCCAATGACCCAGACTGGGCTTGCTATGTTTCCCTCTGCATACCGAATCTCCTGCCAGACCATGAATTCCTGGAGGTCAGGAATCATTCCCCTCCATTGATGATCTCCTCAAAGCCTAACTCACAGGCCCTCAGTAGAGCTTCAGTGAATAACAGCTATACCCATAGAAAGGCTTTTTTACCCTCAACCCTTGATCCACACAACCATCCAGGCCTCAGGCCAGAAGCCACCTGCAAGAGGAACAGCCACACAAGAGAGGCTGGAGTGGTCCTTACCCCTTCATAGAGACACTTGAAGAATTTGATATCATCTGTCAGAGATTCTACTTTGGCCTGAAGCTCAACCTTGTTCATGTAGGCAGCATCTACATCCTGGAACACACAGGTGATAGTCAGGGTGCTGTCTGCCCTGCCCTACCCTCCCTGCCACAGGGAGCCAAGGATTTCTAGCTCTCTCTAACCCCTCACCCCTGGATGTTGGTCCGACTCAAGAGGAAACCAACTCATGGGGGTGCAAAGGCCATGTTGGAAGTGCAGTCCAATGGCTAGGTGCTAGACTGGCAGATTTGGGGAAGCAGTGTGCATCCCAGTGAAGGGAGGGAGGACCCAGTAAGTGACCAAGAGGCTGCCTTTCCTCATCCTACAAAGTCATTGTGGCTGGTGGTCAGGATCCATGGGTTTCTCCCAGCCCTGCCTGCATTCTTCGTACCTTCTTCAGCACCACGAACTCATTCTCAGCAGCAGTGCGTCGGTTAATCTCCACCTCGTACCTGTGGATAGGGAGAAGAACAGCAGTGGCATTGGGACCATTCAGTCCCACAGATACTCACTGAGCAGTGTCGGCCTCCACACCAGCAGCTGCCAGGGGAAGGTCACCACCATCTGCGGTCAGGGTGCAGCCTTCCTCTAGGGGATGTGGGAAAGGGCGGCTTCAAAGGAGTCCATTCTGGGGCTCTCTGCACATTCACCCACTGACAGACCCTCACAGACTCATTTTCTCTCCAAACCCTCTTGGATCTCCACTTAGGCTCTGATTTCCATCTTGATTCCACTTGCACTAGTCACACTGTACTCATTTCCACTCTGAGATTATTCTTTAAAACTGTGCCCATAATCTGTGTTCCCTCTGAGATCAAGGACCTTCACCCTTTCCCATGAGGTTTCCCTGCAGGGCTCAGAAGAGAATAGGTTGCATGTGGATCAAGACAAAGAACTCAGCACTAGCTCTTGCTCCTGCAACTGTAGAAGTCGCCTATACCTAAGACAAGTTTCAAAACATCAAGGTCACAGAATCTGTATTTATTATCATCTCACCTATATCTATCACTCTCACATCTATATTTATTATTCTCTCAGTGACTCAACTCACAGGGATATCTGATCTGTTCTTTCAGATACACTCCTAATGTGTGTGTGTGTGTGTGTGTGTGTGTGTGTGTGTGTGTACGCACGTGCATGCGCGCACATGTGCTGCAGCTTGGATTCAAAGCCTGAGAGCTATCCCTTAGCTATTTTGCTCAAGGCTGGCACTCTATCACTTGAGCCACAGCTCCATTTCTGACTTTTTAATGGTTAATTGGAAATAGAGGTGTCAAGGACTTTCCTGCCTGGGTTGACTTCGAAATGTGATCCTCAAATCTCAGCCTTCTAAGTAGTAGGATTATGTAAGTAAGCCACTTACATAAGTAAGTAAGGCTGGTTTCATTATCCTTTTGAAAGATGGAGTTTGTAGGCACAGACTCACTTTGACACAAAGTAAGTTTCTAAAATTCATTTTTTGTTACTTTTCACATTTGTTCTAAAATTAGTGAGTGTTTCACAGACTGGGGCTTCCACAGAAAGCTCCTCTTAAAAGGAACTCCAAAACCTTTGGGTTGTCCATCTGGTTTTAAGCTCATTATTTGCCCTCATTCTTTATTTCCAATGCTAGAACTTGGACCCACATCCTTACGCAGTTCAGAGCACCATTCTGGGTAAAATGATGTGGGTTTGTGGTTCTAAGCCTCATTCTACCTACATGTCTCTCCCTCGCCTGTGGCACAGGAAATAGCAATCAGTCATCTCAGCAGAGGGCACAGGCAACAATGCTGGCTCCAAGGTAAACCACATCTCCAGCAGCTTTCTCTGCCTCCCACTCACCTCTTCTTGTAGTCTTCCACCACGTCCCTCATGCTCCTCAGCTCCGAGTCCAGCCTCACCCGGTCCCCGGACAGCACTTCCAGCTGCTTCCGCAGGCTGCTGATGTAGCCCTCATGAATGGATTCCAGATTCTTCCTGCAGTTGTTCAGGTCCAGCTGCTGCAGCAGCTCCCACTTGGTCTCCAGCACCTGGTTCTGCTGCTCCAGGAAGCGTACCTGACACCCAAAGCCCAGCTACTGTTGAGTCTCCATGGAAATTGTCACTCAAGAGTGAGACAGAGCTACGCACAGGTGACTTACATGTGAAATCTTATTTGGGAGGCTGAGATCTAAGTGTCACCGTGTAAAGCAAAACAGACAAATTCAAGAGACTCATCTCTAATTAATCAGCAAAAAGCCAGAAGGTGGAGGTATGACTCCAATGGTAGAGTGTCAGTCATCAATACAAAAGCCAAATGAGAGAGCATGAAGACCTGAGTTCATGCCCAAGTATGCAATGGAGCAAGCCACACACATATTTATGTTTACTACAGCACTACTGACAAGAGCCACATTACAGAATCATCCAATAACTGATGGTAAGGATAAGTGTGATATACATACACTATGGAATTTTATTCAGCCATAAGGAAGAATGAAACAATATCATTGGAAGGAAAATGGATGGAGATAATTATGTTAAAGTAAATTAAGCCATTCACTTTCATATGCACAATCTGGAAATTTTTTTAAGTAGAAGGGAAGGACTCACAGTAGGAGGTCCCTGTCCTCCAGAATAGTGGCTGTGTCTCCCACTCAGCCTCTCCTACCAAGCCTCCTCCTTCACCCTCAGCACACACACACACAACCCACATTGACTGTTGTCAACTTGGGCTCATTTCTTAGCCTTCCATGGCCTTAGCTGCCTCATCTGCAAGGCAGAGTAAGGCGAGAATTGGAGGTTGTGCCTTGAGAAGTTCATCACTGGGACCAGATAACTGAGCAGCATCTCCAACAGTATCAGCTACTGTACTTATTATGTGTCCTTCTCACCTGCCATAGTGGAGACAAAGAAGCCCATTCTTTGTTTCTTCCCACTCACCTGAGCCAGAGATACCTTCCTCATTACCCTCATTTCTGAGTATACTCTCCCCAACATACATTCGCCTTGACATGTCTTTCCTCTGAATGACCCCTCCAAGAGAACCATGGAAGGGGTGATGTTGATCTAGATGCCTTGAATTGAAAAATAAACAGCCCTTTAACCCTGACCCTTCAATGTTCTGGTTTTGTTCTCCCACTTCCTGTGGAAAGTTGTCTGTCTTACATACCCTTCCTCTTCCTACCTTTCAGTCGCTTCAACATTTGCAAAGTCCTGGAATATTCCATGGTTTATGTCTTCCAGTGACCCTATCCTAAAGGTGTGTCTCCATCGACTTATGTGATAGCCAGAGCCCTCGAAGGACCAGTTCCACAGGTCTTCTACCTCTGGTTTACCAGCTCCCCTTCCAAGGTCTTCTCCCCACAAGGAATAGAGAGGCTCCCCTTCCTTGGGAATGTGTGCACTAGTCTAAGCATGAATCCGTTGGTCCTGATTACTGCGCATTAGGCCAAGATTCATTACTGTGCCCGTTTTGCAGATGAGTAAGGAAAGGCTCAGAAAAGTATTCACTCGCACCTATTCCCACTCGCCCATCAGTGGCAGAGTGGGCACAATGGGCACTGGGAGCAGGGGCAGAGGCAGGGATAGGAAGTTGCGCCAGGACCCACCTTGTCAATGAATGAAGCAAACTTGTTGTTCAACGCCTTGATCTGCTCGCGCTCCTGAGTGCGCACCTTCTGGATCTCGGGGTCCAGCTCCACATTAAGGGGAGCCAGGAGGCTCTTGTTGACAAAGACCTGAGGGATGCCCCCCGGGGGACACACAGACGGACATGTCGGCCCCAATCCAGCGCTGCCAAAGACGGTGCCCACGAAGCCCCCGGGACGGCCACCACTCGTGCCCCCCTGGCCTGGCGCAAAGCCACCCGCCCGAGCAGCGCTGAGTGCCAGGCGCCGGCCGCCCCCCATGTTGAAGAGGCTCCGGCTGCCAAATGTGGCTGCGCCCTTGACCCCGGCCCTGAAGGAGGAGCGACTGCTGCTGAACCGGCCCGAGATGACTGCCGAGCAGCCACTGAAGCCCAGGCGCTCCCCGCTGGAGTAGACGGACAGCTGGCGACTCATGGCTGGCGAGGTCCGAGGGGCGTCTGGGCTGTCTGGGCTGCCTGGGCTGCTGGGCCGTGCGCAGAGCGCGGAGCGGGCAGGGCGGGCACTCAAGGGCGCTCAGATACACTCCTGGACCAGCTGGCCCCTTAAATAGTTCAGTGCAGACTAGCAAGCTGGAGTCAGCCTAATTTGTACCTTGGGAATACCTTTTATGTCACTTTGGACATCTTGGGTTCTTCATTTAGGAAATTACCATCTACCCTCCAAGATTTTTGTCTCTTAGACTTGAACTCTCCATGAATTGCCAATAAAATGGCCCAGAACCTTGCATTTCCTTTGCTTACCTCCTGTATTATAATAATTTGGCTACCCTATCTCCACGTGCTTCCCTCCAATTACTGGATTCATCACTGCTGAAATCTTCCAGTGGGTCTGGCCTGAGGGGGAGGAACAGAGCAGATGTCCAGGCTGTTTCTGCTGGGTGACTGCTATGTGGATGAAGGTAGATTGACCCTCTCCACGCCCCGCTGCCCTAGGGTGGCTGTGCAGCAGACTGGTGCTTAGGAAGATCTCCTTGCTGGGCTCTGAATTATTCCCCTGGGGTCACTTTTAGGGTAGTCATATGGTCTCTGGGGGCAATTGAGTGACAGCTTCCAGTGAGCCAATCACTAGGTGTAATGACAGCTAAGTTGTTTATTCACATTGTACAATGTGGTGGAGACATCCATCAGTCCAGAGATGGTGCCAGACGCTGATGCCTAGATAGAGAAAATTGGGGTGTCCCTGGTGAGGAAGGGAGGGCTCTCTGTGCTGTTCAAGGAAGGGTCTGGGGGCCGCAGACCCTTCAGGAACCTACAGGTTATCTTCATCATACAGAATATTTTCATGATTTCGCAAGATTTTCCTGTGCCCCGTTGTTCACACACACACACACACACACACACACACACACACACACACACACACACAGAGTTTTGTTGTTTCTTTGTTTTTAGACATGATTTTTACTTACTCAAGACCAGCTAGGAGAATTCATTGATAACACACATTTATTAAGTGCATATATGTGCAACAGCAAGTTTCAGACATGACATAGTGCATTTCTTCCTACTGAAGCCAGGAGCCATATAGTCCTCATATTGGTTAGGCTAAGAAAGAGTGTATTAATTCTAGCCACTGAGAAGGAGTAGGAGACAGATAAAATGGCATATTCTTATCTTCCCCAGAGGGCTCCCCTGGCTGTATGAATCAGAAGTAGGTCCACACCGCCATCACATTTATTATAGATGGGAGGGAGACAGTTGTGACACATGGAGGCTCCAGAGGCATCATCGATGTGTGGGGATGTGGGCAGATCAAAGGTGGCTGAGGTCTGGGAGGGCAGGTTCTCATGGCACTCACCTCTAGCAGTGGCTTCCTGTGTCACCTCAGGCTCTGGTGACCATGTAGCAACCTTAAGTTTGGTCGACTATGCTAGAAATATTGCCTTTGGAAATAAGAGGGCTTTACTACAAAAGATGGATGAAACTACTTGGGTTGAAACTGGCAAATGTGCTGAAAACTGGGTCTCTTTTACCCCCAGGAAGCTGCTATTTGAAAAGTAATAGGTATCATGGGAGGGAAAAAAAATGCGAGAATGGATTTTGTGCTGAGTTAAAACAAAAAGAGTGTTAGGCAAATGCCTTATTGCAGGGTTTTCTAGATCCATTAATATACTTAGTGCTGGAGGATTTTACAGCAGTGAAAAATCTTTACATGAAAAATTTTACTCTGTAAGACAGAATAATGGTAGATGTGTGTCATTTATACATTTGTTCCTACCCACAGAATGCCTAGCACTACGTATGTCAACTATGGCCAGGCATTAATGGCATATGCCTGTAATGCGAATGCTAGCTACTCCAGAGGCTGAGATCTAGGGATTTCAATTCAAGGCCAGCCTGAGCAGAAAAGTTCATGAGACCATTATTTCCAATGAAGCAGCAAAAAGCCAGAAATGGGTATATGGCTCAAATAGTAGAGTATCAGCCTTAATGAAAAAGCCAAAGGAGATCATGAAGCCCTGAGTTCAAGCCCCAATACCAGTACACACACACACACACATATACACACACACACACACCTCACAAAACCTGTTCACTATCACCCTAAGCTCAATGATGTCCATTCACTAGTAATAATAAATGTCTCAGTCTGCTGGATGTTGACAATGAGAACACTGTGCGTGGAGGGAGGGACCCACGGGACATTTCTATACTTGCCACTCCAACTTTACTGTGAACCTTGAAGTTTTCTTGAAAAAAAAGTCGATTTAACCAGGTGCCAGTGGCTCACACCTGTAATCATATCTGCTGAAGAGGCTGAGATCTGAGGATAGTGGGTCAAAACCAGCTCCAGCAGGAAAGCCCATGAGACTTGTATTTCCAACTCATCACGACAAAAAGCCATAAGTGAAGCTGTGACTCAAGTGGTAGAGCACTCGCTTTGAGTACAAACGCCCAGGGACAGTGCCTAAAAGTCAATCTAGTGAATACGTGAATAAGTGATGAATGTATAGTCCTAAACTATGTCAACAACAATGAAAGATATGTGGTACTTTCCGAGGAGTAATAGAAAAAGTCTTTTCCACAACAGTGACTGAGAGATTGATTGATGAGGTTTGGTCTACTATTTATTATTTGTGATTTTTTTAATATGAGCTTAATTTTTTAATAAAGGAACTTAATTTTATTTTGGGGTTTTTTTGGGGGGGGGGTCCGGTCGTGAGGTCTGAACTCTGGGCCTGAGCGCTGTCCCTCAGCTCTTCAGTTCACTTGAGCCACAGCACCACTTCCGGCTTTTTGCTTTTTGCTTATGTGGTGCTGAGGAATCGAACCCAGGGCCTCAGGCATGCAAGGCAAGAGTTCTACCACTGAGCCACCTTCCCAGCCCCAAGGAACTTACTTTAAATAAAACCAGAAAGCAAAGAAAAAGAAAGCTGATTCTAATACCAAATTTTCTAATACAGGATTCTTTTTTATTAACAGTAATTTTGGGTTTTTTCTGGTTCTGGTGCTTGAACGCAGGGACTGGATGCTGTCCTGAGCTTTTTTTCTCAAGCTTAGTGCTTGAGTCACAGATCTACTTGTGGATTGGGGGGCAATTAACTAGGGAAAAGAGTCTTATGAGCTTTCCTGCCCAGGTGGGCTTTAAACCATGATTATCAGATCTCAGCCTCCTGAGTAGCTAGGATTACAGATGTGAGCCACCCGCACCTAGTTTATTAATGGTATCTTAAAAGCACTCTCTTAACTACAGCTCTATCTCGTTAGCCAAAAATCTTAGAAGAACAAAAGTTTTAAGAAACATCCTTTACGAAACCCTGAGCAAAATTCACCATTTCTTGGACATAAATTCCTCAAATGGAAGCAGATTTACAATATCTCATAAAAACACCAATGAGACCTAAAATATCACATGCAGCCCAATTGCTATGGCCAGGGTTACACTGTCAGAATCCAAAGGAGTCTGAATGGACTCTAGAAAATGCACGTAGCATCTTCCCAGCACTGGCCAAAGGTGGAAGAACTCTCAGCCTTGGACTAGCATTAGCGTGCACACTGAGGAAGCTTGTGCCAAAGTCTGCTGAGAGTGTATCAAATATCCATATATCTCTTCCTGTCACAGCCTTCATTGGAAACATGTGACTTGTGTTGGCCATTGACATGTGAGTGGTGTTGGAGCAATTAGCCTCCAAAGCGCACTGCCATCTTCCTTCCCCCTGCCTCGGTGATGCTGGAGGCCACATGTTGCATGTAACAGGACCACACAACAGAAGTCCTCCCAGGATGTCCATTAGGGAAGGCCATGAGACTAGCTTCCTTAACCTGCCCTGGATTTGGAAATCAAAATTACTTTCTGTTGTGTGCAGGTACTCAGATTTCATAGTTTGCCCACTGAGCCTGTCGGGCTGAATTGTCAGAATCCAAGCATAAGAGTTGGATGGCAGAAATACCTCCTATCTGCCAATGCTCTTAATGAAGTTTACATCCATCATCAGAAATGCACTTTCTGATCTCTATCAAATCTTCTCTGTTCCTCTTTTCTCCTAAGCTTCTTGAAAGAACAATCTACATCTCATAAGACTAAAAACAACTATGTATGGGTATGTACTAAGTGCTTGGCATTAAATCATTCTCAAACATTATTTCATTAAATTCCATTCTCATGGCAACTTTATGAGATAACAGCTGTTATGAACCACTTCTACTGACAAGGAAACCAAGGCCTATAAAACAGAAGCATCCTACCTAAGTCATACAGTCAGGGACAGACAGTCCTCCTGGTTCCAGGTCTCGTGACCAAGTGGTTAATTCTTCCTCACACTCCTCAGGATAAAATCTCAGCTCTTCACTGACAAGAACAGGCCTCTCTGATCCTTTTCTGCTGCTACCTCTTCAGATAGGGGCTTTTGTTTCCCTCCAGCGCTGCTGAGCCCCTCCAGTTTCATTCTTCACATTCCAGCAGCAATAACCAATTTATATTCTTGTGTCAATACTGGGGCTTGATCTCTCTGGGTCTTTGGCTCTCGTTTGGGTTTTCCAAAAAGCTCCAGGCATTCTACCACTTGAGCCATATACCTACTTCTGGCTTTTTAACACTAGTTAATTGGCGATAAGAGTCTCATAGACTTTCCTGCCCTGAAGGCTAGCTTCAACCCCAAATCCTCAGTTCTAAGCCTCCTGAGTAGCTCAGATTACAAACATGAGCCACCAGTACCAGGATAACAATAACTAATTTTTGCCATGCAAGAACTCTGGCTCCAAAGCCCATGTTTTCCTTTTGTACCCCTATGAGCTCCCTCCTGGTCTCTGAAACCTCTGCACTTGTTACCTCAGCTGAGTCTGCCCAGCCCTCCATGAGGCTTCTTTACTCTCCCCTGGACTACCCCTGGATCTTCCTTGGTTTTTTATCTTACTCATATTGCATTATCTTTTTCTTTTTTTTTTGGTTGGTCATGGGGCTTGAACTCTGGGCGT